CAGTACAACTAGATGGTGCCCAGCTACCACCACTGACTGCTCTGACAGGGATCACAACAGAGGGTCCTGGACAGAGCTGGAGAAAAATGTAGAAAAAATTCAAACTCACAAAGAAAGACCAGACTTACTGGCCTAACAGAGACTGGAGAAACCCCGAGAGTATGGCCCCCGGACACCCTAGTAGCTCAGTAATGAAGTCACTCCCAAGGTTCACCCTTCAGCCAAAGATTAGATATGCCCATAAAACAAAACGAGACTAGTGGGGCACAGCAGCCCAGGACAAGGACTAGAAGGCAGGAGGGGACAGGAAAGCTGGTAATAGGGAACCCAAGGTTGAGAAGGAAGAGTGTTGATATGTCATGGGGTTGTTAACCAGTGTCATAAAACAGTATGTGTACTAACTGTTTAATGAGAAACTGGTTGTTCTGTAAACCTTCATCTAAAGTACAAACAAACAAAATTAAGGTGCTGTGGACATAGAAAACAAGCAGTAGATTCAAAACCGAGCCCCAGATCAACAGTCAGTCACAAGGTCAGATAGACAGATGCTTTTAATTGTGGCATTGATATGGAATTGAGCTTTTCCTCACGAGGACAGCACTGTGTGATTTGCTTGAGGGGAGAGATATGGGGATTTATATATTCAATGATGGTTAATTGTTTTCTAAAAGAACTTTGGTGAGGCAAGCTAATAAAAAACAAAACAAAACAAAAACAAAACCCCGTTGCCATTGAATCAATTCTGACTCATAGCAACCCTATAGGACAGTGTAGAAATGCCCCATAGAGTTCCCAATGGGCGCCTGGTGGATTCAAACTGCCGTCCTTTTGGTTAGCAGCTGTAGCACTTAACCACTATGCCACTGGGGTTTCCAGTAGCTAATAGTAACACCAAATCCATCAGTTTTATGTAAATCTAAAAGATCATCTATAAATTCATTTCTCTAACTTCAAGCTACACTGTCCATATCATGATAAAGAATCTATTCTACTTTTTATGATTTACTGAAACCAAAAAACCAAACCTGTTGCCACTGAGTCAATTCTGACTCATAGCGATCCTATAGGACAGGGCACAACTGCTCATAGGGTTTCCAAGGCTGTAAATATTTATGGAAGAAGATTGCTGTATCTTTCTCCCAAAGAATAGCCGGTGCGTTCTAACTGCCGACCTTTCTGTTAGCAGCCAAGTGCTTAACCACTACGCAACCAGGACTCCTCATGATTTACTGAAAGGACAGAAGTTACAGAGTTGCCTGTGTCTATGTTGTGAGGTGCTGTTGGGTTCATTCTGACTTATAGCGACCCTATGTATAACAGAACGAAACAGTGCCCGGTCCTGTGCCTTCCTCACAACTGTTGTTATGCTTGAGCTCATTGTTGCAGCCACTATGTCAATCCATCTTGTTGAGGGTCTTCCTTTTTTTTTTGCTGACGCTTTATTTTACCAAGCATGATCTTCTCTAGGGACTAGTCCCTCCTGATAACATGTTCAGAGTAAGTGAGAAGAAGTTTCGCCATTGTCCCTTTTAAGGGACATTCTGGCTGTACTTTTTCTAAGACAGATTTGTTCGTTCTTTTGGCAGTCCGTGGTATACTCAGTGTTCCTCACCAACACCATAATTCAAAGGCATCAATTCTTCTTCGGTCTTCCTTATTCATTGTCCAGCTTTTGCATGCATACGAGGCAATTGAAAATACCATGGCTTGGGTCAGTGGCACCTTCGTCCTCAAGGTGACATCTTTGCCTTTTAACACTTTAAAGAGGTCTTTTGCAGCAGATTTGCCCTATGTAATACGTCATCTAATTTCTTGACTGCTGCTTCCATGGGCATTGGTTGCGGATCCAAGTAAAATGAAATCCTTGGCACTTCAATCTTTTCTCCATTTATCATGATGTTGCTTATTGGTCCAGTTGTGAAGATTTTGGTTTTCTTTATGTTAAGGTGTAATCCATACTGAAGCCTGTAGTCTTTGATCTTCGTCGGTAAGTGCTTCAAGTCTTCTTCACTTTCAGCAAGCAAGGTTGTGTCATCTACATATTGCACATTGTTATTCTTCCTCTAATCCTGATGCTGTGTTCTTCATATAGTCCAACTTCTTGAATTATTTGCTCACCATACAGATTGGCAAAGTATGGTGAAAGGATACAACCCTGGTGCACACCTTTTCTGATTTTAAACCATGCAGTATCCCCTTGTTCTATTCGAATGCCTCTTGGTCTATGTACAGGTTCTGCATGAGTGTAATTAAGTGTCCTGGAGTTCCC